AGGGAGATGTCTAGGCTGGCATGTGCATACAGTGAGACAACGAATTTGACTGGATCTGTACTGTTGGAACTCAACCAGGAGTTGGGAGGGGTGCAAGTTGTAGCACCCCAAAATCTCATGACTATAGACTATCTATGGTTAAAAGAACATATGGGATGTGAACAGATCCCAGAAATGGGCTGCTTTAATTTGTCTGATGGTTCAAGTACAGTTGGAAAATATCCATCATATCATAGATAAATTTTCACAAATGCCTAGGGTGCCTAAATGGTTTTCTTGGCTTCACTGGAGATGGCTGGTAATTATAGATTTGCTTTGTTTATGTCACCGTATTCCTATTATGTTAATATGTGTGTGCAAATTAGTTAGTAGTTTAAAACCTATACATACTTAAGGTACTATACAAGAAGATATGTCAAAGAAATAATCAATCCTCCCAAGTTTCCTTCATATGCTACATCTATAGCTTTTCTTCTTCCTTCCTAATTACAAACCTTAAATAGAATTCGTGCCTCATATCGAATTTACCGAGTATCATAATTCCTCCAGGTGGTAAAGATACCTCGAGACAAGTGCTGGGCATAGAAGCCACAGGGCATAAATCTGCAAAGAAGTAAAAAGCTAACCTTTGCAAACAATATGGCTTCTCTCTCACTTACCAACTTTACATTTCCCTGTATGGCCCCGGAAGATGACTGGTTAGCCAGAGACGGGTAAGATTCCTCAAGGGAGGAACAACCTAAGACAGGCACAGTCGCAGGGGGGCCATCAGGTGAGAATTTGGGGATCAACAGAGGTGAGGCTCAGAACCTCACCCCCCCTGCTTTGAGAGAAATCTTCTGCATCCGTGGATGTCTTGCTGCCCTTGTCTAGCCTGGATTAATACTTAGTCCATAGGCACACACCTGATCATCTGATCATCTACATTTGCCTTCTTACAGCACTAAACTATGTTTTCTACCTTTATCTTGCATCTACCTACCACTTCAGCATTTTATTAAAAATAAAAATAATAATAATAATAGGAGAAATGTGGGATCAACATATAAATCAAGTACAAAAATCAAATGAATATTCATATTTGACCTGATGGTTTATAGGTCATATTGCATGATCAAAACCGAAAGTTTCTGTGATGAATGCCCTTGTACTGTTCACCATGTAAGAATTTATTCACTCTGTAAGAATTCGTTCACCATGTAAGAACTTGTTCGTTATGCTTCAGAAGATTGGAGACTGACGAGAATTAGGCTTGAGATGGATTAATGATTGTACATTGAGCATTGACCCCCCTATACTGAATTTTATTGTTGTTAACAACCATTTGATCAATAAATATGAGAGATGCCCTTTCAAAAAAAATAAAAATAAAAATAAAAATAAAAAAATAAAATAAAATAGAATAAAATAAAATAAAATAAAATAAATAAAATTAAATAAAATTAAGTAAATAAAATTAAATAATAAAATAAAATAAAATAAAATAAAATAATAATATTGATCTATTCCTGGACTCTCTATTCTGTGGCATTGATCTGCCGGTCTGCCTTGGTAGCAGTAGGGCACTACTAATCATATATATACGTCGTGCAGAGACAGTCCCATCTTTCCAGTCTGGATGTCTCCCCTTCTCTCACTGGTCTCGCAGCTCTGGTGACATCCTCTGTACCTTAAATAGAAGCGCATCTCCCTCCTCGTCAATAGCCTTCCACCGGTGCTTGCAATGCGAGAGTCAGGCTGTAAGCGTCCCTCATCAGGTTGGAGGTGTTCTCTTTTCCTTTTATTCCTACCTTGCTCAGAGTTTTTATCATTAAAAGGTTATGATTTCTTTCTTCAAATGCTTTTTCTGTATATAATATGATCATTTGTTTTTCTCCCTTATTTTATGAACACGGTGAATCACATTGGTTGGTTTTCATAGGTTAAACCGGTTTTGCCTCGGGGTAAGCCTGACTCAGTGGGTCATGATGCACCAGACGGCATATATACTGCTGGCTTCAACTTGCTAATATTTTGTTAGGGATTTTTTGCATCTATTTTCACAAGGGGAATTGATCGCTCCTCTTGTGACACCTTTGGTCCTGGAATCACATAAATACTAGCCCCATAAAAGGAATTGACAAGTGTTCCTATCCTCTTTTTCTTTTCTGAAAGAATGTATGTTACATTGATAACACTTCTCCTTTAAATGCCTGATAGAACTCACCGGGAAAGCCATCTGAGCCTGGAGTTTTCTTTGTGGGAAGGTGTTTAAATTATGAATTGGGTTTCTAGGAGAAATATAGGGTGGCTTGATTCTTCAGTTTCTTCTTGAGCAAGTTTTGTTCATTTGTTTCCTTCAAGAACTGGGTGTACTTGACCTAAGTATGAGATTCACTGGTGTAAAGTTGTTCACGATATTCCCACACCATCCTTTCAGCGTCCATGGGACCCATGATTCTGTCCCCCTTCCATCGTGACGCTGATCATTCGTGTCTTGCTCTGTGTAGCGTGGCCCGCCTGCTCCAGAGGTTTGTCTTCAAAGAGCAAGTTTCTTGTGTCATTGATCATATTTACTGGAGTTTTGTGGTGGTTTCTTGTTCTGTTCTAGATTTTATCTGTTTATGCTCATACCTTTAGTATCTGCTTCCTTCTGTCTGCTTTGAGCTCTGTTTTCTCGTGTTTTACTAGACTGTTCAGGTAGAAGCTTCCAACATTGATTGGGGGCTTCCTTTTTACTAATATAAAATCATGCATGAATGTCCAAAGGAGAAATACTTCAGCATTTCACAATTTTTTGATATGCTTTGTTTTTTATTTTGTTCCAAAACATGTCCTAATTTCTCTGTGCTTCATGAGTTACACGTGTGTGTCTTGGTTCCCAGATTTTGGAATTTTCCAGATTATCCCTCCATTGTGGAGTTTTTTTTTAAATTCCACTGTGGTTACCTAACATAGCTGGTTATGATTTTTACTGTTTAAATATGTCAAGTTCTGTTTTATGTTTTCAGGTGGGATATTCTATTTCAATCAGGCCAAGTTAGTTTATAGTATTTTTTTTCCTGGGTCTTCCAGATCCTTATAGATCTTTCTCTTTACTTGTTCTACTGGTTACACAGAGAAAAGTGTTGACATTTCCACCTATGTTTGGAGTTCTATATTTCTCCCTCCATTTCCATCAGTTTTTCTTGGCGTAATTTGCAACTGTTTTATTAGCTGCTCACACATTCAAGATTTTTTCTTGTTGAGATGACTCCTTTGTCATTATACAATGTCCCTGATAATATTCCTCGCTCTGAAATCTAATTTGTCCGATACTTACATAGACACTCACTCCCGCTATCTCCTGACTTGTGCCAGCAGGTACATCTCTCCATTATTTTATTTTTAGCCTGTCTATGTCTTCATATTAAAGTGAGCTTCTTGTAGACAACATATAAATCACACCTTGCTTTTATCTAATCTAATTATCTTTTAATTGGAGTGTTTATACCATGTACATTTAATGTGATTGTTGACATAATTGGGTTTTAATCTACCATCTTGTTGTTCTATACTGGTTCCACTTCTTTGCTCCATTTTTCCTCTTTTTCTGCCTTTTTTAATTGAACATTTTTTTATTATTCTGTCACCACCATTGGCTTATTAATTATGCCTCCTTTAAAAACACGTTTCAGTAGCGGCCCTAAATTTACAATATAAATCTGTAATTTACTGTGGTACAGTTTTAAGTAAGGCTGTGCCTCGCATATGGTGCGGGACTGTCACGACACGCGCCTCCGGTTCCTCCGCCCCCACATGGCGTCACTGCTGTCACCTCCACCCTCTCATGCCTTGGAAACCCCACGATATGTTTTTCTTTACATAATTAACTTTTAGAATGATTAAGAAAACGGCGCCTCATATTTTGCCATTCTCAGAAGACTTTATTTCATAGTTTAGATCCAAATTGTTGTCTGGTATCATATTTCTTTTGCCTGAAAAGCTCCTTTCCTGTGGCTGCCGTCACGCCCAGCCTTTAGGAATTCATGAAGTGCTCCCCTGGTGCATGCGGGCTCCTGAGGTCACCAAAGGGGCCGGATGGGACTTGCTGGGCCCTCCCAGGCCAGCGGGGGCTTTCGACAGACCACCGCAGGTCCCAGGCCCTGGGCGGTGCTAACGTGCGGGCATCAGATGGGAAGGGAGGCAGGTCAGGGGGTGCTCAGCTGAGCAGTGGGCCACAGCCACGGCCGCGATCCTCAGGAGGCAGTGAACAGAGAGGGGGAAGAGCTTTGAGTGCCCCCCATGCCAGCCCTGACTGGCTCCTCAGCCACTGTGGTAGGGCACAAGGGCCCACACTCCCTGAGAGCCTCCATTCAGTCGGGTGTAAGTGTGCCCAGGGGGTGCGAGTGCCCCCCTCAGGCCTCCAGGGTAACCCACAGGTTGCATACCGCACTTGGTCCTCAGCCCAGGGACCCAGGGTGCCCACCCCTCCCCACCTGGCCAGACGCAGCCCCCACAGCCACAGGAGGCCGCTAGCCTGGCGCTCTGTCCTGGAAGGACTAGAAGAGTCTTTAGAATTCCCTTTCGGCGGCTCAGGGCAGCACAAGGGGCCAAGCCCAACTCACAGAGCCACTTGCCAGGCACATGCAGCCAGTGGGCATGTGGACGTGTGCCCGTGCACAGCCACACATGCACACACGCCATGCTGGCCTCCCTCCTGGGGCCACAGAGCTGACCGCCGCTCCTGGGAGCGGACCTGAAGGTGCTGACAGCTCTGCCCGCACCTTCGCAGCGGCAGGAAGAACCACGCAGCCACTCCTTCCGCTTCCCAGCAGGAGCCGGCCTGCTGCCACGGGATCCATGGGCCGGAACTTTCTCATTTTTTGCTGGGTAGAACCCTGAGTCGGGCACGTTTCACACATACACACACACACACACACACACACACACACACACACACACACACACACAGTTCACATGTGCACATTCTCGCCCAGCCTGCCCTGACCCCTCCGCACCCAGTGAATCACACCAACACAGCGTCTCTGCCCAAGTTTATTTTTAAAAGCAAAGAATTGAACAAAGGCTCGGAAAATAAATATCCGCAGAGAGGAAGCCAGTTCAGGGGGTGGGGAAGCTCAGAGGGTCAGCAGGGGGGAGCGTGCAGGGAACGGACGAGGCGCTGCGCCGGGGCAGCGAGGGGGGCTCAGCGCCTCCCTGGACGCGACACCCCCGCATCAGAGCGCCGGGTGCGGCGGGCGGTTCCGCGCTGCTGCGGCAGGAGCTCGCACGTGGTGTCCCTGCACAGGCAGCTCTCGATGTGGGTGTAGCTGTGGCTCAGGGTGCCGCCCCCGGGGCAGTCCAGCGCCACCTCCCGCTGGCTGGTTCGCTCCTCCTTGCAGCAGGAGCACCTGTGGTCCAGGCCCTGGGCCTCGGCCGAGTACCTGGGGGAGGGCCGGAGTGAGGGCCTCCCCTTCCCGCTGGAGGGCAGACCCGCCCGCCACCCCTACCAGCCACACTGCGGCCGGGACTCACATGGCGAAGGTCCCGCAGGACCCGGAGCAGTAATTCATGATGACCTTCTTGCTGCAGCCAGCGTGTGAAATTCTCTTGGTGACAGGGATGGCAGAGCAGGGCCGCACGGTCTCATTGCGAGGGATGCCTGGCAGGGGGTGGGGCAGAGGTCTGGGACAGGGTGTCCACCCCTCCCAGGGGCACCCCTCACCATAGCCTCTCCCCACCCCCAGTGCACCCGGCCTCGGCCCTTGACCCCCTCCCGGGAGGCAGGCACCCGCCTTGGCTGCCCCCTTGGCAGCCGGGCACCCCAGGCGATGCCCTCAAATCTGTCATCTGGCTGAGTGTGTCACAGGGGCACAGGGCTCCCAGGGCACCGGCCCCTCATGCCATCTTCCCAGGTGGCTCCTGGTGTTGCCCACCCACCGGCCTGTACTCACATTTCCTGCAGCAACCGTTGGGCATGAGTGTCTCTGAGCCCTGGGGAGAAGGACAACAAGCCTGGGATGCCAGCCCTGCCCAGTGTGGGCAGCACCGTCCCTGCCCTGGGACACGAGGAGCCCCCTCCTCACACGCATGGCAGCCCAGCCCTGACAGCCGCTCACCGGAAGGCAGATGCTGGGGTCAAAGTCGGGGCAGGTGATGTTGGAGACAGACGAGATGAGCTGGTTGTGGATTTTCACGCAGCTGAAGAAGGTACAGTTATTCTTGGGGTCCCTCTGCATGTCCCCAGGCTGTGGGCACAGGGCAGTCATGAGGGCGGCCGGCCAGCCCAGGAAGACAGACCGGAGACGCCCAGCGTCCCCCACTGTCCATGTGCAGCTTCCTGGGTGGGAGGTCCGGCCTGCAGGCCTAGAGCCATGGAAGCCACCAGCCTGTAGTCCACAAGCATGTGCACGTCCTCACCCCAGAACCGAGAACGGGACCTTATCTGGGGAAAGGGTCTTTGCAGATGTGATCAAGTGTAGGGTCAAAGACCAGGTCTTCCTAAACCCAGTGACACATGTCCTTATAAGAGACAGGAGAGGGACAAAGACCACAGAGGGGCCACGTGAAACCAGGCAGAAGTGGGAGGGATGCCTGGAGCCCCAGGAGCTGGGGAGTGTCCTTCCCTAGAGCCTCTGGAGGCCCGGAGGACCTGCCGACTCCTTGGCCTCGGAATCTGACCTCCACACTCAGAATTGTTCCTGGAGTTTCCAGCCCCCAGTCCGTGCCCCCTTGGGCCACTCAGGACACACGCTGTCACCCTGGCACTGGGACTGCTCAGCCAGGGCGGAGGGAGGCATCCCAGCCCCTGCCGAACACACCATGGGCAGGTGGGGCTCCCGCACCTTCAGGATGATGTGCTGGCCACCCGGCCGGTTGATGACGCAGCTGGTCTGTTCACATTTCCTGCAGCACTCCCCCGGGGCCTCCACCGGCTCGAAGCCCTGCAGGACACAGGCCTGGGTGGGCACTGGGAGGAGGGGCCCACGTCCCCGGGGGCAGCCGTGGGGGCCTGTGGGAGGGAGAAGCAGGTGCGGGGGCTTACGGGGCTGCAGACGGTGTTGCAGGGCACGTGAGTGCAGGAGATGGTGTTGAGCTGGGTGGTGGTGTTCCTGTTGTGGGTGCAGGTGCAGTTCTGGCACTTGGAGGAATAGACTGGAGAGCCGGGCTTAGGGCACAGGGAGAGATGAGTGAGGCGGCACAGCAGAGAGAAGCCAGGCTGCCCGGGGCTATCCTGCACGATGGAGCCCCATGCTCAGCCTGCCCCGGCCCCCTCCCCTCCACCGCCCCGCGCGCCCAGGGCTCACCCAGTACTCAGCGTTCCCGAGGACACACACGCCCTTGGGCACTTGGGAGAGAGAGAGAGGATGCTGTCAGCTGTCAGCAGGGCCCGCTGGCCCCCCACAGACAACGTGAGGGATCTGAGGACCCCAGGAGGAAACCCCTCACCCGCATCACCCTCTGACAGCCCGCCCCGCCCACTCACCGCAGGAGTAGAAGGGGCAGCACCTCCCTGGAATCATCTTGCTCTGCACTTCGAATCCCAGCTGGCACACAGGAGGTGTCTCCTTGCACAGGCTGGCATTGCACTCTGGAGAGAGTGGGGAGAGGCAGTGGAGCCCCCGCAGCCTTCCCCGTGGGGCCGGGGTGCGGCAGGGACGCCAGACCCTGGCATATCCATCTCCGGCACCCACACCCTGGTGTACACTCCCGGAGCCCCAGCCCCCCGCAGGCCCAAGGCAGAGGCTCCCTAGCTGGCCAGTGGGGGGAACGCACAGGGTGGACATGTACAGCAACCCCCCTGGGGCCCCGGGCGCGCCCTGCCGGCGCAGCCTTACTGCAGGAGGTGACATTGCAGCAGGTGTCTGTGGGGTCCACCTCCGTGACCAGGTAGGTGCCGTCCTCCGCGCACTTGGTGACGGTGTTGTGGCCACACTTCCTGGGCTGGCAGACAATGCCGCTGCCGCCCTCCAGGCACACACAGTCCTTGCAGTCAAACTCAAAGTGCTCCCCAAACTGCAAGGAGGGGCGGGTGAGCAGGGAGAAGAGCAGGCAGCACCCGCCCGGCCCACGGGCCAGGGCCACCCCGCTGCGTGTCTGGGCAGCCCATGGAGGGCCCTGTGGGACACCCCGTGCCCTCTCCACCTCCCAGCACATCGGGCAGGTTCATTTTGGACCAGGTCACTGACATCACAGCCACCACCTGCTCACCAGCATCTGCCTGCACAGGCCTGGCCCGTGCCAGACCCATCACGTGTCGGTGGGGTTTATGCAAAACACTGTTAAGGAGTCAACCACAGCAGAAGACGTGGACAGCAGTGCAGTGGCCAAGACGTCATCTCGGGTTTACACAGAGCATCAAGTGACTGAGGAGTGGGTGGCGTGTAGGGGTAGATGGACAGATGGACGCTTATGTGAACAGAAGGACAGATGGATAAATGGATGAGAGGATGGATGGATGGATGGATGGATGGATGGATGGATGGATGGATGGATGGATGGATGGGTGGGTGGATGGATGGGTGGGTGGATGGATGGATGGGTGGATGGATGGATGGGTGGATGGGTGAATGAGTGGGTGGATGGATGGATGGACTGGTGGGCGGATGAATGGATGGGGTGGATGGGTGGGTGGGTGGGTGGGTGGATGGATGGATGGGTGGGTGAATGAGTGGGTGGATGGATGGATGGACTGGTGGGCGGATGGATGGATAGGTAATGGACAGGTGAGTGGATGGGCAGACATCCCTGCTAACTCGGGCTTCCAGGACCTGAATGAGTTGCTCTTCAGTCTCTGAGACCGCCATGTTCTCATGTTCAACCCACTCTACCCTCCAAAATTCAGGGTTTGTGGGAGAATCCCACCTCAGCACCAAGGTGGAGGGCCTACCTTTCTGGGCACGTTGTCGGGTCCCACACAGCCTAGTAAGGGAGAGGAGACCAATCCTGTTAGCAGAGTCCCAGGGCAGTAGAAGCTGGGGTCTGCCTCATGGGGCCAAGGTGAGAGGGCAGCATACCACACAACTCCACGCAGACATCGAAGCCAGGGGCGTAGCTCATGGTGCCCTCAGGACAGAAGCAGCCTTCCACCAGGCGTGTGCTGTTCTCTTGAGAGGGGCTGGTGGGGAGGTGTCATGAGATGGGTGTGCGGCCAGCGGTGCAGTGGCGCACTGGCCACTGTGCCTAGGCCATGCCACCGCCATCCCAGCATGTCACCTGGCAACTGACCTGGACATACACGTGGGCTCCTTTACAGGACCACAGGCCCGGTACTCCTTGTGAGATGGGCACGTTATCGCTGCAGGAGGGAGGCCAGAGTCAGGAGGGAGGAGCTTGTGACCCCCCTGGCAAGCAACTGCCCTGCCCAGCTTCGCCCATGCCAGCTGCGAGTGGCTGGCTGCCTGCGGCTGTCTGCCTCAGCCCACATGCTGCCCCAAGTTAGATGGTGGTACCCCATTGTGCCAAGCAAACCTAGCAGCCCCCAGACCCTCCAGCCTGCCCCCCTTCCCCACCCTGAGGCCCAACCTGTTCTCCTGGGTGCCTGGACCCCCTCCCCAGACTGGCTTCAGGCTGGGCACAGCACCTGGTAGAGCCCACAGACCCCAGGCAAGCAGGCAGGCACTCACGGCAGGTCCCATGGGTGTGGTTCCGCCAGTCGACACAGATGCCCTCGTGAGCACAGAGGGCTGCGTAGCTCTGCAGACTGGCACACTCCAGGTCCGAGCCAGGCACAAGGCAGCTGTCGAACACGCAGGCCTCGTAGTAGTGCTGAGGAGGTGCCAGGGCATGGCACTGGGCAAAGAGGCTGTGAGGAGGGGCCTGGTCACTCTCTGGCTGCACTGCCCACCCCTCTACTCCCCCCCACCCGGCGCCCCCACCTGGGCTGCCCTCCTGGAGCCGGGCTCAGCCTGCACCTGACCAGACAGGTGCTCATGGGCTCTGGGTGAGAGCAGGGAAACAGGACGGGCCTTAGGGAAAGGGGCCGGCACCGTGGCCTGAGGAGGGCTGTGGGCTGGGCTCGCAGGGACGGAAGCTCTAGCTAAATGGCTCCCCGGTACCAGCAGCCCATCTCCAGCACCCCAGCAGAGGACCAGCCAGCCTCAACTGCATGCCTCTGGGGATGAGGCACTCACTCCTGTGGAAGCCAGCTTTGGGAATGCCCTCTCTCTGTCTGAGCCCAAATCTTCCTCCCTGACATCAGCCCTGAACACTAGCTCTGTCCTGGGTTGGCCAGTTGGCCTTGGGTTTCAAGTGCAGCGACCCTGCACATCCCAGGAGGCTGGAGAGGTCGGAAGGCCAGGAGGGCACAGAGATGCCTGACAGGCAGTTTAGTGCAGTGGAAATCAGGGGCCCAAATCCTGGGCCCCTCTGAGGCCCGGCACCTGCTTATGGTGCCCTGACCTCCTTCTGCACTCCCAGCCCCACACTCAGACCTCTGCCTCATCTCCTCTCTGCAGACAAGGTTTCGGGGGGACACAGAGAGCCAAGGTGCCCCCGAGACTCTGCGGCTCACTGCGACCGAGGCAGCAGACACCCCTGGGCACCTGTCTTTGATGAGCTCGCAGAGAGGAGATGCACAGTCCTTGTGTGTGGTGGCACTGGTGCCCCGTGGCAGCGTGGTGGCCGGGTGCTCCGTGGTGAAGCTGGTGTGGGGACAGTGAGGCTTGGAGGGGTCGTTCACCACCCACTGGTCAGCTGCGACCTCACAGCTGGAGGTAAGCTCCCCACTGGGCAGCACGCAGTCATCCGCGGTAGTGTTCGTACATGTTCCTGTGTTGGCAGGAAGGCCCGTGTGTATCAGCGCCCAGCCCGCACCGCCCAGTGGGCCCCTGCTGACCTCCAGTCCTGGCCTCCTGGTGACCAGCCGGCCGGGGCTGGGGGCCCAGACCGGGGACAATGGCCTGGGGGCCTTGGGCAGAGCAGCAGAGAGACCACAGCCAGCGGGCAGGTGCTCTCCCCGGCCTCCGCCCAGCCGCCCTCCCCAGGGCCAGGGCACAGGAGCTGAGGGGCTCACCACACTGGCCCTTGGTGTTGTTTCCAAACAGGCGGTAGGGCAGCCTGATGGAGAAGGAGAGGCCGTTGTAGGAGATGAGGGCGCCCAGCTCAGGAATGTCCACCACGTAGTTGATGCCTGATCGCTCCACCTGCAGCCCGTACTTCTTATAGGGCAGCGCCACCACCTGTTTGTTGATCTGCACCTGCAGCCGGCACACACAGGCTTGGGGGTGTACACAGAGGGGTGGGCGCCAGCCCTGCCCTGGCCACCTCGGGAGAGGGAGACTTGTGTGTTGATCCAGGCAGGTCAGGGCAAACTGCATCTTCAGGGAGCACCTGGGCCACCCCAGGCCTGCAGTCCCCCCTCTTGCCCACTGTGCCACAGCAGGGGCTCCGCCAGCCTGCCTCCCCTGCCTCCCCTTGGCCTTTCCCTCCCTCTCTCTGGGCCAGACGTGTGCGGTCCCAGGAGCACGATGGCAGGGGCACTGCCCTCAGAGACCCCAGGAGACCCTCGGGCCATGCAGAACCCAGGCTCCCCGGCCATGGGAACCGATGACTCCACGTGGGTGTGGGCCCACTCCCCCCATCCTCAGCAGGGCAGCTCCTGCCACAAAGATCTGGAACTAGGGCGGGCAGTGGGGCATGAGTGGGGGATGTCAAGGGGCCTCTGAACACGCCCAGAGTGCCCGTGAAGACAGCTGGCTGTGTGCCCCGCACACTGCCACTCCCGCCCACGCCCAGCGCGGAGGTGCAGCCCCGCGCCCCCAGCACACCTGCACTTGCATGGGCATCAGCTTCACGGTCTTGATCAGCACCTCCTGGGTCTCATGGCGCACGATGAGTGTGCGGGGGCAGGACACCTGGTCACGGGGGTCACAGTGGTAGTTGTCTATGTAGACCCCAAAGTTGTCCACTGTGGGGGTGATCTCCTCCACCAGCACGTACGTGCAGTTGCCCTGGTAGCTGTAGTAGAGCCCATCGAAGGTGACGTAGTGCGGGTCTCCCCAACCTGTGCAGTAGCCTGCAGAGGGAGCCCAGGTGAGCTGGTGCCAGGCCCCCGCCGGGCTGGGGTGGGGGCGGGAGTCAAGGGATGGGTGGGAAGAGCGAGCAGGGACAGGGCAAGGCCACAAGTTCTGGCTCCTGGGACACATGGGGCATCCAAGCTGGGGAGAGGGACTCAGCTCCAGCCCCTGACAGTCCATCTCCCCACTCGCCCGCAGCGCCTGCTCTAAAGGGGTCCTGGTTCCGGAGCCCAGGGCCTGGATTCACACTCCAGCTCCGCCTCTCAGAGCTGGGAAGCAGCCTCAAGGTGGGAGGTGGCACCACAAGCCCAGCCCTCTGCTCAGACCCCCCTGCCTGAGACAGGGAATAAGCCAGAGTGAGAAGCCCCTCAGGATAGAGCCGGCCCCCGGCAGGTGCTCAGCAACTGGGGCATCAACCCAACCAGTGCCTGTTCCCAAGGACCTCAGGCTACAGCCCCCTGTCCACAGAAGGGGGAGGTGGGGAGGGTCCCTCTAGCATTGGGGGCTTACAGTCACACTCCCAGTGCCAGCAGCAGCCGTTGGGGTCCCACACTTGCACAGGCTGGAGGCTGTTGGAGCACGTGGGCTTGGGAGGGGGCTCACACTTCACCTCCTCAAGCTCCACCACATTGTCATGCTTGCACGTGGCCATGGTGCAGTTACACAGCCACCACGTCTCATTCTCCTGTGAGCCAGAAGGACACAGGGTCAGGGGGGACCACCTGGCCACCCCACCCACAGAGGAGCACCTCCCCAGAGCTGGAGGCTAAGGACAGCCCATCTGAGAGGCAGCCAGCTGCTCGCTGCAGCAAGGACCACGTGGCTGAGAAGGTGGGGGACTCAGCAGACTGCCTAAAGCCTTGGCCCTACTGGGGTGGCGGGGCACAGGGACAAGGAATGGGACATCTAATGACCAGAGAAAGACAGGGCCTCCAGCTCTGTGCATCCAGATGGTGAGTGCGTTCTGGTTGCTGACCTGCCTGGGAGGATCGAAGTCCAGACACCCAGAGGGCTTGGTGCTTGCTGTGGGCATGGATTGGCTGGGCTTCGAGGGTGTGGGTGGCGGAGAGGGTGTGGGTGGGCAGGACCAGTTAAAGAACTGCAAGTTGCAGTTCAGAGAGCAGTTCACATAGTAGCACATGTCTCCATGCGTGCCGTTGTACACCAGCTCACCTGCATAGGGGAAACCCTGTCCCTACTCCATCCACAAGGACATGAGCAGGTCCCCACAGGGGTCCCCAGGGTGCCCACCACCCAACATTTCCCCAGCACATGGCCACAGCAGTGGAGCTGGCCACAGAGACAGCCACCCACACCCACAGCCAGTTCCCCAAGTAAGCTCCCAGTTGAGCCTAACATTAGTCCCACTGCTGGTAAGAGCCCCACTAGCCTCTGCTGCCTGAGAGCCAAAGATGAAAGTATGGGTACCTGGAGCATAGAATGTGCCATTCAAATAGCAGCACCACACCAGGCCGGAGGATACTGGGCCAGTGCTCATGCTGATGCTGGGGGAGATGATAGGGCTGACCGTTGGGGTAGGCAGGCTGGAGCTGGAGGTGCTGGTGGTCTGTGGAGTGGGTGGTATGGGCGTTGGAGTTGAAGGACTCCCTGTCAGTGTAGGGGTCCCTGTAGTAGAGGTGGTGGTAGGTGGAACACGTGTCACTGTGCTGATGGTGGTGGTGGGGTGGGTGAGAGGAGTTGTGGTCCCCATAGTGGAGGATGTGGGAGTGGGTGTCGTGGTTTGTGGAGTGGTGGATGCTGGAGTGGGTGTCATGGTCCCTGTGGTGGTGGATGTGGGAGTGGGTGTCATAGTCACTGTGGTAATGGTCATGGGAGTGGGTGTCATGGTCCCTGTGGTGGTAGACAAGGGAGTGGGTGTGGTGGTTACCATGGTGGTCGTGGAAGTGGGTGTTGTGGTCCCTGGAGTGGTGGATGAGGGAGTGGGTGTTGTCCCTGTGGTGGTCATCGAGGGTGTGGGTGTCATTGTCCCTGTAGTGGTGGACGAGGGAGTGGGTGTCGTGGTCACTGTGGTCGTGGTTGTGAGAGAGTGTGTCGTGGTCCCTGTGGTGGTGGACAGGGGTGTGGGTGTCGTGGTCCCTGGAGTGGTGGTGGATGTGGGAGTGGGTGTTATGGTCCCTGTGGTGGTGGATGCAGGAGTAGGTGTTGTGGTCCCTGTGGTGGTGGTTGTGTGAGTGGGTGTCATGGTCCCTGTGGTGGTGGTTGATGGAGTGGGTGTTGTTGTCCCTGTGGTGGTTGTCAGTGTTGGTGTCATGGTCCCTGTGGTGGTGGACGAGGGAGTAGGTGTCGTCGTCCCTGCGGTGGTCGTAGAGGGTGTGGGTGTCATGGTCCCTGTAGTGGTGGATGAGGGAGTGGGTGTCGTGGTCACTGTGGTCGTGGTCGTGGGAGAGTGTGTCGTGGTCCCTGTGGTGGTGGTCATGGAAGAGGGTGTCATGGTCCCTGTGGTGGTGGGAGTGGGAGTGGGTGTTGTGGTCCCAGTGGTCGTGGATGAGGGAGTGGTTGTCATGGTCACTGTGGTCGTGGTCGTGGGAGAGGGTGTTGTGGTCCCTATGGTGGTGGATGTGGGAGTGGGTGTCATGGTCCCTGTGGTGGTGGATGATGGAGTGGGTGTTGTTGTCCCTGTGGTGGTGGATGAGGGAGTGGGTGTCATTGTCCCTGTGGTGGTCGTCAGTGTTGGTGTCATGGTCCCTGTGGTGGTGGATAAGGGAGTAGGTGTCGTCGTCCCTGCGGTGGTCATCGAGGGTGTGGGTGTCATGGTCCCTGTAGTGGTGGACGAGGGAGTGGGTGTCGTGGTCACTGTGGTC